TTCCATTTTAAAGTAAAGCATTCCATAAGAGCAACGCAAGAACAGCTGTTAACTTAAATTGTTTAGTTAGGAAAGTTAAGCTATTGCTATGTTAGTATAAATCAGCTGTTTGTAAATGTATTTTGTTAAACTGAGGAGGAATGACCTTTTGTCTAGTTTAAGTTGGTAAAATATAAATCATAATGCTGGAGCTAAATGTCTAAATTTATCCCTTTGTAACAGAAAAAGGGATTAAATTTATGGCTAATGGTTCTAGACTCTAACTATGATTCCTTATTGCTCTATGTTGTCACAGAAAACATACTACAGTACTGCAAAAAGGTACAGTAGTTTAGAGCTGATAATTTCCACACTGTCATTTTTTTATAACTCTAGCCCAGAATTTAGTTAAAATTATTAGTGATTGGCAGGATTTAAACCAGAGAACTTGGGAACCAAAGTCCTGCGTTGTACCACTAGACCATTACCGCTCCACACTGACATTATCTTCAGCGATAACTACAATGACCAACACAAGCAACTACTGGTCTAATAGGAGGAGTAACAGATTGTCCAGTAACAGTGAACAGTATCCAAGGCCAGTTCCTGGGCCAAGGACAGTAATCCCCATTAGGCTTCTGTTTGCAGCCTCATTAAACACATTTTCTGGACATTTTGACCCCGACTGTCCTACTTAACTAATGATTCATCTCCGATAATGCCTGACCCTACACCTGGATGGTTAATTGGGCGATGAAATACGGTGATGGATTATTTTGCAGGTACATTGGAAGGGGAAGCGGAGCGAGTGTCGTCCTATGTTTTGTTATGGGGGTCATAAACTGTCAAAACCGTCAGGTATAGTCCTGATGAGTGCTGTAGGGGTTACCATTGTCCGTGATTTTAAAAAAATCATCGAAGATGTATTACTTTACGCATCCGGAATTTCGGCAAGTATTTTCATAAAAAATATCTTTAATGGTTTTTGTTGTAATTTTAAAGTACGAGTAATAGCATCCACTTTAAATAGACAGAGTTTTTGAAATTCATTATGACGTTGATTCTGAGATGTTACTTTTTTGAAATGTTACTACTTAATATGTACGATAATGAGGTACTTGAAATGTTAATTGTAACAACTTTAAATAGTGCAACAAGAGTTGGTGGGGCCATGACTATCGTGGCACTCATGATGACACCGCCAGTTATAGAGTGGCTGCTGTAAAGATGCAGGACTTAGTTCTGGTAAAGATGTGTGTAAAGTAATGTCACTTGGAACAGGTTTCGTTCTGGAACAGTCTATATTGGAACTGTTCCTCGGATTAACCTAGTATGGCATATCTCTTGCTGCAGTGACAGTGACTGCAGACTGCACTACGTCGTGAGAAGGCATGGTTCCACAGCGCCGGCGCACCGCTATCAGAGCGTAACCTCCAGTGGCCTTGACCTTGACCTCTGCCCCCGCATTGCCCTTCTTCAACTCTGACCCTCTCGTCACTCGTCAGCTTGCGGAACTCTTTGATGACTCAATCGTAATAGCACTGTGTATAAATTATACTGTAAGTTCATTGAGCCATTAATTTCCATGCCCATTCCTCAATTAATTGTTGTTACTGTACTAGTTTTTAAATAAGTTTTTAGATTGCGACCATTTTACCAACAGTCACCTAATGTTTGAAATATATTTGTTTAAATTGTTTAAACAAAAACCTCCCTTGCTCCTTCAAGTGGGGCGGGCATTAATTGCGCCAGCTAACCTGAGTCACTTGCCCTCAGGGTGTTCCTGAATTGCGCCAACTATTTCAGGGAGCCACCCGATAAGTTTATTAACTGGGTCGCAAGTGGCGGCTCCATTTGACTGTATAATTGAGTAGGTTAGTTAAGTTAGGTTAGGTTTGGTTAAGTTAGGTTAGGATAGGTTAGGACGACATGTAAACAATGTTATTTCTTCTGCTGGCAACTCACCCCTACCTGGCCTGGGCTTGGCGCAACTATGGAACTTTGGCGCAATTAATGTCAAAGGTTAACATAAGGTGTAACTAACCTTCAAATGATCCGTTGATACACATAGTTGCAGACTGTTAGAGACCAAGTGCATAAGATGTGGCAAAACATCTGGTAATCCTCGTAAGTTGAGTAGATCCATTGGAACCATTCAAAGGCACTATGCAAAATCAATACCAGAAAAACCTGTGTTGAAAATTAAAAACCTATCATTTGGAACGAACACAGACAGTAGCTCGAGAGGCACCGATCTTAAACTGACCAAAAAGACGCAAGTTCGAGACTAGACCATCTTTACTACTGGAACCACCGCACCTGTCCGAGTCATATCATACATCTGACCTGAAGTCAAACCATACAGACCTGTAGTCTTTGTTGTCGTCCATGAAAGACTATTTTGCAGGCAAGAAGGAAGAACATTGGAAGTTTTAAGAAGAACTTCAAAACCAAGTCTTTAGAACAAAAGAGTAACATTGTCATCCACTTCACCAGCGTGTTACTACAAAGATGTGACGTAATCTAACAAGCCCCATAAACTTGGCATTGTCGGCTCGGATGTCCCAGTTCACGCGGGACTTTCACCTACTTCTGGCGGGAAAACAAACACCATATGGTGCAGCAGACTGAGTCAAGTCTTCAAATGTTTGTGTAGAATTTGTACTGAAAACTATCGATAAGAAGTGTATTGATGGTAGGTTCGTATTGGAGCCTTAAAAGTTATAGTATTCATAACAGTTTAATGTACCGTGCTAGTACGTTATATATTTTAGCACCGTTTTTTGTTTTCTTTAGGGGGTTGCTGTTTCTGGTTTCGACTATGACAAAACCAGCTTTAAGTGATCAATGATATCAGTAATTTGGAACAATAATGGGAGTGAGAGTCGTTTGCGGTGGGTGATATTTTGTTTTTATATTTAGACAAATTAATTGAATGCTTTTATGCAGCAGATTTTTTTAGCACGTTTAATTTACTAGGTATTATAATGTTAGGGTAATAGACCGATAGCTACCTCCACATTTAAACTTTCGGAACAGGTTTGGCGAAACAGTAGTTATTTAATTTAAATAATGTATGTATTTTTTTAATGAAAACGTAAAAAAGTAAATCGGTCCCCGGGTTTAAGTCTTACAATTCCACACAGCAATACCTTCATCACTATAGGGGAAAACGTCTCGAAGCCACCTTCATCTTATCTTTTATATGACTGTCCTGTTTATTTTTTCTGTATTCAGGCATCAATGCAATCCTGTCAAGTTTATTAGTTGACTTTGATACTAAATTTCTTAGCTAAAAGCCCATTAACCTCATTTCTTTACAATACTTAACATATTTAACATTCAAATCTCTTGAGCTCCTGAGCTGATACTTGTGTCACAATAATTAAATTTATTGATCGAATGCATTTGTCAAACATCACTATCCACCGTAATTAAATCGGAGGAGTACTACAGTATTTTCCCCATAACTATCAATTAAGAAATTAATGCTTGGGAGCGCATAAACCTGGATATGAATACATCCTTAGTGTAGAATGTAGTGATGTGACTAGTGTAGCTTTGTTTCTGACTAAGATAAGCTGATTAATAAGTCCAATGATTATGACAAGTTCAATGATCATGATAAAGTCCGTATGGTCAACTGGGTCCAGTTTGGACCATAAAAACCAGATTTTCTAAGGATCGAACCGGTGACCTACTGACACCGAAACACACCGTGACAACTGACACCGTGACAGTTAGGACACCTACTGACCTAACTAGGTCACTGTGACAACGCAAGTACCCAGCATCATAGGAAACTAACTATACTCTGTATAATTCAACCTGTAGCTACCTGGGTACATGCCAAAAATTATAAGACCCGAGCCAGTCCTAGTTACCGGGAGACAAGTTCCATCATGCAGACTATAACTGCAGAAAAACAGACTACCCGAGTTAATGCACTAGATTTAAACACGAAAATCCACTTCAATCTCGTTTGCCAAACTTGCAGACCAAAACCGGGTCACCTGTCGCATAAAGCCATTAAAATTCCGGGCCTGAAATTACAAATTTAATTACCAAAGTGGTCAGTGGTCAGTGTGTTGTGCAAGCCACGACTAATTGGGACCACTCCAGTTATACAACCTGTACGCTTTCCTATGGTGATTAGCGTTACGCAACTATACCGGCCAATAATCTCTTATACAATGATGGCCAATGGGCGAGCGGCTGCCAATTTTTCATTTTTGAAATATGGTTCTGGTAATCAGATCCCGGGTGGTTGGTTATTCTGGATCGCTCGTGTCGTACGACATTGTGTCGTGTCGTACCACGTCCTGTCGTGCAAAGTCTGGCAGTGCCATGAAAGATGTACACGAAAAACTCAGATCGAAACTTTCATCCTCATACATTAGTGACAGCTACAATCGGTTAATGTGTCAACCCAGTCTTAAATCGCTGGAGTATCTAAATTCTTCTTCTACGCTACTGGATATTAAAAGTACGACTTTCGTTGTAATCATTACATTGAGGCAAGGCCATAATGCTGCAATATGAGCCAAGTATGTATGGAGTGAAATGCCTTTAGCTGTCCACCAAAATCAGTTTTTCGACCAGAGTTATTTATAAGCTCCATGATCAGAGTGAAGATTGAGTTAAAAGGTGGATCATTTAGAATTTGATGACGAAAATTCTATATCATATAAGAAACCCTTTTTGGGTGTATGATAATGCAAATATTCCTTGCCATTGGTAAAAATTACCAATTACAATAATGATAAGGCTCTCTTCTATAAGAGGCAGATAAAATATGGACCGAGTCCTTAAGGCATGGCTAGACCTTGGAACTCATATCTAAGATATGTTGAAATATAGTGTAGCCTAAAAGAATCTTAGGAGATTTTTTATATTTTTTCAATGCAAACTGCTAGTATAACTAGTCTGTTAATATATTCATGATTATTTATGATAAACATATGTGCACAAATAAATAACCAAGTGCAACAAAAGAAGGTCGGGTAAAACAATATACAGGATAATAATAATTACATTTTATTATAAAAATACTAAATGACGTTGTACAAACTCCCAAATGAAAAGGTAAATGTATATCACATTTGGTTACATTATATACAAACTTGTACTAGTTCTATAGAAAAGTGCCTTAATCTACGGTAACACTTGGTAACTTGATTTCGAATGGTAAATTGCGATCGTAATGGCACTTGGTAAGATTCAAGTATGGAAATAGTAATTAGATGACACCTCTAAATGGAAAACTAAACCCTAAAACTAAAAGGTAGCGGGACGCGATCCTTCCGAGTATTTACACTTGTTAAAAAAGTTTTTACAAGGAGAGATAGAAAAACACAAGAGAAACATTGTGTTCTGTACAAGAATTGTCGATGCCAGGTTAGAGTCGTCAGGGCTCAAAGGGGTGAAAACATGAATGAATGAGAATGATAATGGATTAAATAATTGACACATTCGTGGGAATTGCAGTACGCGAAAATCGTCAAACCCGAGAGTTGGGTAATGTTTTGCAAAAATAAAGCTACAAAGAGAATCATTTTAAGAGAGGTGCTTTAACTTCATAAGGTATAATTTCACCAATCCGACCTTCAATTTTACTTTATAATTAATATTCAAGAGGTAATTTAACAGAATGTTCTACATTGACCTTTTAACGACTCGAGATAAACGAGGTAATAGCGAGAGGTAATAGGAGAGTGGACATTTGATACAGCGGAATTTATGAAGTGGTCAGAGGGTGGCATTTGTTTATGGGGCAGGAAGTGAGTGCGAACCCGTTCCTTCTCCTTCTTGGTCAGTTAGATAACGAGACCGGGGCTATGCGGTCACTTGCTCTTGTTTGTGAATAAATCCGACAATTTACATTTCCAAATCGTACAGGTTCAAATTTGGTAACGGGTCATAAATTCCAAGGTTTGCAGTTGGGAAATTAGAAATGATACGCGGAAAGGAAAATGAGAAGAATTACATAGTATTGAGAAGTAAAATTGGTTGAAGGGAAGAGAATATAGCAAGATGAAACGAAGAGGAAGTAAGGACCAAGGTTTTATACAATGAAAATAGGATACACAAAATTACAGAAAACAATGGGAGATAGAAAACAAAGAGTAAATAATAAAATTGGAGATGCAAACAAAGATTAAATAATATTTTGTACATCGTGCAAATGCTTTAACCCGTATATAGTATTCCACGTTAGAAAATTGGTTTCAAAATTGACTATAAGAAAACATTGAGTTGTGTAGAGCGTTTTCCCAAAAGATGTACGGAGACTTAAACGATAGGTCTTACTGAAGGCGAAGATAAAACAATATAAAATAATACACCTTACAAAAAAGGGTTAACCCGTGTAACTCATTTATATTCCATGAAAAAAATAACAAAAGTTGACTTTGGAAACAAATTGGCTACTTAATGATCCTAAAAGATCTCAGGTGATCCACCTAAAAAAATGGTAACATCAAACATTAACTTGGGAAACGAATTAGTTACGTATTCGCACAAGATAAACGGATGGTTCAACTTAGTTTCAAAAAATGGTAACATAAAAAATTGGCTTAGGAAAAGAATTCACTGCGAATTCCCACTAGGTGAACGGAGACTTGAACTTGAACGCTTAGTTTGACTGAAGGCGCACGGCGACTCCTACCCGGCATCAAGTAAAGACTGAGATGTCTAAGACTTGAGCACAGGCTGCAGACTCTTGGTGTCGGTTGTTTTGGTGACGACGGCGTGGAAGCCATTGTCCCAATCAGCTGTGTAGTCAACAACTCGCACACTGCCGTCCGGCTCCACCAGAGAGTACTGTCCCTTGACTACTTCACCGTCTCTCTCTTCGTACTGGTGCTTCTTGTCACCGGTGTGGGGGTCATCTACGCCGTACTCGAAAGCGTATCTTGGGTGGTCATCCTAGAAACAGGTGGTATTAGAGTAACGTACATGAGAATATTAAATTTTTAAATAGTTTAGATGGTGTTAAGATAGAGCTAAATCAAGAGCAATCAACAGCAATGGTGGCCCCCTTTAGTCTTTTCTTTACTATCTAGAGTTGGAAATTTAAGCGTTTATTGCCAAAAACTAGAATTGGAATTGTTGTGATGAATTTGATTGGTCTATAATTTATTATCTAGCTGGTCTCCTAAATATTTTACTCCGTTTCCAGTAACACATTCAAAATTTTCAAATTCATGAAAAAAAACTGAAATGATTTCCACAGCTTGGTTTCGTAACACTATTGCAAATTTGATGCTGTAGAATGAAAATGTTATTGAAGAAAATATTTCTAAAAGTTTATGTGATCGAGTCGGACAGCTAACACGCCGCGCTACAAGCATCGAGATGTTATGCTAATGTTAGGACCAGGTCGGATTTCTTGGATATCTTACTTGGTATCTTCACTAATCACCGGCTACCGTTTCCCAACCTGTTGGAGACCGTTGATTGTCCGTAAAATACAACTCAACTGATTTTAATCATCTTTGAACCATCGTTAGCATCTGAAGTTATGACAAAAGATTATTCAATTCTGCTAAAACATAAAAGAAAGTTTTTATCCATCATCTTATGGGTTTTAGTTCCTTTTCTCCCGCATCTTAGGACGAAGGCTTGCCTTGATCTGGTTCAAACCTGGTCAGATCTGAACTAAAGCTTTCATGTGGGATATAGCCCAGAATCGTTTTACACATTTTTCAGACGTAGAGGGCTGTGGAATTTAACTTAGATCAAATCCATTGGTGATTGGTGGGTTTTGAACCGGGATCTCGGGGATTGAAGTCCTGCACTATATCATTAGGCGAGATCGTCCCAACTTTTTTCCTACAATGATAACTAATTGTGTTTCATGTCTAGTTCTAAAGACAATTTCTTAATGATACTCACATAGTATTCGTGATGCTTGTCGGCGATGGGCTTGGCAGCGTAGGCAGGACCGGCCTTAACAGCGGGGGTGTAAGCTGGGGCAGGGTAGGCGGGTGCGGCAGGCGCGTACCTGGCCGGAGCGGGGGCTGGAGCGGCGTAGGACGAGCTGGAGTAAGAAGCTCCTGAAGAGTAAGCAGCCTTAGCGGGGGCGGCGCTGTATGAAGCTACAGCGGGACCTGCGCTGTAAGAAGCGACAGCTGGGCCGGCGCTGTAAGAAGAAACCGCGGGACCTGAGCTGTAGGAAGCAACAGCGGGACCTGCGCTGTAGGAAGCAACAGCGGGACCTGCGCTGTAGGTAGCCACAGCGGGAGCTGCACTGTAGCCAGAGTAAGAGCCTCCAGCAGAGTAAGCTGAGTGAGAGGCTCCAGAGCTGTACGACGAGGAAGCGCCAGAAGAGTAGCTAGCGACGGCGGGTCCAGCGGAGTAACTCGAGTAGGAAGGAGCAGCAGATGAGTACTTCACTGCTGGTCCGGCTGAGTATGAAGCATAAGCTGGGGCAGCCGCGGAGTATTTGACAGCGGGTCCAGCAGAGTAGGAAGAGTAAGCGGGGGCTGCTGCGGAGTATTTGACAGAAGGTCCAGCGGAGTAGGAAGAGTAAGAGGGAGCTGCTGCGGAGTATTTGACAGCAGGTCCAGCGGAGTAGGAGGAGTAAGAGGGAGCTGCTGCGGAGTATTTGACAGCGGGTCCAGCGGAGTAGGAAGAGTAAGCGGGAGCTGCTGCGGAGTATTTGACAGCAGGTCCAGCGGAGTAAGAAGCGACGGCGGGCTTCGCCACGTAGGCGGATTGAGATCCAGAGGAGTAGCTAGAGTATGACGGAGCTGATGAAGAGTATTTGACAGCAGGTCCAGCGGAGTAAGATGAGTAAGAAGGAGCAGAGGCGGTGTACTTCACAGAAGGACCGGCGGAGTAAGACGCTGCAGGAGCAGGGTAAGAGTAGCCACCGGACGAGTAACCTCCAGCGGAGTAGGAGCTTCCAGCTGAGTAAGAGCTTCCTGCAGAGTAAGAAGCCTTAGCGGGAGCACTGTATGTCGGAGCCGGAGCGTAAGCCGGAGCTGGTGCGTATGCTGGAGCAGGAGCGTAGGTGGGTGTGGGGAACTTCACTGTCGGTACAGCAGCGGCGGCAACGTACTTGGTAGAGGGCTTAACAGCGTAAGCAGACACAGCAGGAGCGGCAGCTTCATACTTGTAGCCAGCAGACGCAGAATACGAGGAGTGTGCGGGACTAACAGAGTATGACGCTACTTTGGGGGCGGAGTACTGAGGAGTGGAGTAGGCGACTCCCAGGGTAGGAGGAGCGACGGCCACACTGGAGTAACCTGGAGTCACTGATGAGTATTTGACACCGGGAGTTGCTGAGTAGCTCTCGTACCCCGGGGACACTGAGAGACTGTGGTAGGCCGGACCTGCTGAGTAGGCGGCGGCGGCGGCGGCTGCGTAGCCGTGGACGCAGGGAGGCAGGGCAGGAGCAGGTGCAGGTGCATGTTGTGGGTGAGGTGAGGGCGCTGACTGCGGCCTGTTGTACTGGGGGTAGTCAGGGTCGTAGTAGGCTCTCACGGAGCCTAGCAGCAGCAGAACAGTCACCGACAGCACCTGCAACAACAACAACACTTTAAACATGAACAATCTAAAAAAACAACACTTTAAAATATCAAACTTCACAACATCAGGGTACAGTAAGATCAGTGGTACCCTACTGTAGCCCTGGGAACCCTAAGAACCATAAATGTATTGTGAATCTATATTGAGAAGTCAACATAGGACATTAGAACAGAAGTGGTGTGGATCATAGACATAATTAGGTCACTCTTTGGCCCAAATTCGATATTTATTACCGCAAAATTCAGGTACGATAATTTTTTATAGTTCATTTTAAATATTACCACCCGCATTATTACTTTTGGGCCAGTGACGTTATTTGTTTATGTTTATGGTCCATTATCCGTGAGGACAACCAAATAATTTGTTTCGTCACTCTGTACAAAAGTAGTTATTTATGGTACAGCTTAGCTGTTTGAAAATCGTCGATTTCCAACTCATCAATACTTTTGATTTTGCATGTCCTAATCATTACTTTTCTGCCTTAAATATTACTTTTTTGCCCCAAACAATACTTTGTCTGTCCTAAACAAAGTTTTCCCTGTCCCAACACACTAATTTCTCGTTCTAGCTCAACATAAGTGCTTATTCACGTGTTCTAGTGTTACGAACAATATTTTTCTAACAACTGACTTTTATATGCATTTCGAAAATATGCAAAAATAACTTATTTGTTGTCCATGCTTGGATTTACCGGTAAACCACTATCTCGCCCCGAAACGAGTCACTTATCACCTGAGTGAAATACACTATTTATGTAAATGTTAGCGATCTTAAAATTTCTCTGTTTTCCTGACCCAAACACATATACAGTTTTCCCTCCAGTTATCTCGATCTCCCGCCAACCGCTCCCACCTCAACCGTCTGGAGGTAATGAATCTCGAGGTAATTAGCCGTAGCACGAGGTAATTGAGTCATTTGTCTGCAGGTTCTCTCACACACGCACCAACACGCATGCGCAGAACAAGTTTCCATTTTTACTTTCTCCCCCTATACCATAGTATATGGAGAAAGTATTGTTTTCGTCAAAATTTTCGAGTTTGAGTTTTGAGTGGATATATTCGTTTTGGGTCCCCCTGGACCCAAAAAAGTGGTTTTCGAAGTGATGTCTGTGTGTGTGTGTGTGTGTGTGTGTGTGTGTGTGTGTCTGTGTGTCTGGATGTGTACAGAGCTAGAGACTACACCTGTGGTCCGATTTCGATGAAATTTGGTATGTAGGTTCTAATCCATGGTATCTCCAGGCGTTTTTTTCATTTTTTTGAAATTTTGATTTTTAATGGGGATTTTCCCATAAAAACCCATAAAAACAGGAAAAATCGGATTTTCTCAAAAATGGCCCGAACGATTTTGATAAAAATTTAGTATGTTGTAGCCCTTTAAATTCTGAACAAAATGGTACAAATCCCATTTCTGTAAAAATTACGGTTCAAAAGTTATGGTAAATTATGTTATTTTCCCATAAAAACCCATAAAATAACGAAAAATAGGGTTTTAGACAAAGATCCGGTTTTGATTTAACATAGTATGTTATGGTCCTTACAATTTTGATAGTTTTTTTTTTCACTTTTTAGAAATTTTTATTTTGATGGGGATTTTCCCATAAAACCCCATAAAATAACGGAAAAATAGGATTTTCCCAAAAATGGCCCGAACGATTTTGATAAAAATTTAGTATGTTATAGTCCTTTATATTCTGAACAAAATGGTACAAATCCCATTTCTGTAAAAATTACGATTCAAAAGTTATTGTAAATTATGTTATTTTCCCATAAAAACCCCATAAAATAACGGAAAATCAGATTTCCCCAAAATTGGCCCGAACGATTTTGATAACAATTTAGTATGTTATAGTCCTTTAAATTCTGAAGAAAATTGTACAAATCCCATTTCCGTATATTTACTCTCACCGCTTACACATGATAAAGGTTGTTGACAAACTTATGGGAGAAAGTATGTGTCAGAATGCTGATACCGTTTATTTACTCTAGTAATGCACCGTACAATGAACGACTATCTGTAATTTACAGTGAGACAACTTCGATTAATTGGTTTTAAATTATGATGCCAAAGTGACGTTTGTTAAGATTTATTATTTCTATTGATTAGTACAATAGCAGTGAAATCTTCGCAGCTATATATTAGATAATGTTTTGGTAAACTAATAAGTAAATTCACTATGTCAAAATAGAGTACTTCTAAAATGTATATTCTTCAAAAAGCAATACATTATAAATCTTGCCATGAATATTGTTTCGTGGCGTCTGAAAATTTAAATTGCAGAGACAAAACCGAATTAATAGCTTACCAGCCATCTTATAAATTCGATAAATAAATCCATTTGATACGTTCGATTGTTTTTTTTCAATTTCCCTTCCGACGTAAAATGTACAGTTTCAATTGGATTTAGACTAAACCATTTGAAAATAAGGTGAAACTTTAATAACTTAACAAATAGGAATTGTTTTATTTCAAGTTTTGTGCCATTTTCTCAACTGAGGTAATAATGTCTACAACGAATTAGGATAAATTGCATAGGTTGTAAATATGGGGAAAGTAACTAAAATAGTACTTAAGAAATTGATCCTAAAACATTTGGGATACGATGCTGATCAAAGCCTACAACACTACAAGAAAATACCCCCGCCGCAGCAAACCTGACGCCTAAGCGAATTTCCATTTGGCTGAATTGATTTTCAATTGATCTATTTAAATAACATTAGGTTTAACGAGTACCTAGGTTTGCTGCTACAAGGAAACTAATAAAGTGTGTGTTTTAAGTAAAATAATTATTGCTTAGTATAAAATGAATATATTTGCCAAGTTTGATCAAAAGATATCCATAAACAAGCAAACTACAACATTTTACAATATTCTCCATAAGAATAACATGGGAATTTTAAATTTAGTTTCCTCCGTAACCAATAACCGTACAAAAACACTTTGATATACTGAATTGTTTGTTTTTTTAAGCTCTTTATGAAGGGTTAGAGAAAAATTGGGAAATTTTGTGTTTTGAGGGTCAAAAGTGAGAAAAACCAATTTTTACCCCATAAAACCCTGTTCCCATGGTCCGATCATGCTGGATCGCGAACTCATTCAAGTTTATCCCGCCTTACACCTTCAAACCAAATTTCATCAAAATCGGATAAAAATTACTCAAGTTATCGTGTTCACGGACACACACACACATATATATATATATATATATATATATATATATATATATATATATATATATATATATTAAAACATTATAAAAACATATATATATATATAAACATTATATATATATATATACATATATAAAAATTTGAACGAGTGGTGTTTTTGGCCTCTGGGGACATCAAAATGAAAAAGTAAATCGGTCCCGGGCCTAAGTCTTACCATGAGACCTACGGTAATAGCTACTTCCCTATAGGGAAATTCGCTAAAACAGTAAAAATAATAAGGTAATTATCAATAACTCCTCAATCAGGCTATATAGTGCTATGGAAGTTTATTTTTGTAATAAGTCTTTCCAGGATGTTATTAATATAACACTATAATCATTTGTTACAGTACATTTGTATATGCTGGCTTCCGTTGTCAACCTAAAGCGTTCTTATTATTACGAAGATAAACAGCTGATCAGTAGATCTACTCGCATGACTGTACTTGTATTGGTTTCGTTCATTATTGTCTATTCAGTGTAGTTGAACAGTGCGGCGTATTTTCGTGTAAGTACATGAAACTTTCGTGTTGTTTTTAGTGTTTATATCGTGTAGTGATCGTGATAAGTGTTACAATGACTTGTGTCAAGTAAAGTATTTGTGGTGGAAACTAAAGGCAATATGAAGGATGGTGCAATAATTGGAAAAGGTAAATAATCTTGTTTTAATGCCATACTAATACGTTAAAATGTAACACCTTTATACTATGGCCAGCATAATTTTACAGCAAATACCTCTTTATTAAATTACCAAACTTATTTATTCGTCTAAGAATAATTCTCATACCAAATATTCATACTGATTTGTTATTTAAGATTGGTTGAATATTGTTTTCAGACTATAGTTGTTTGTACATGACAAGTAGAATAATCCGTAAGCAAATTTGTTTAGTGGTCATATAGTCATATAAAGCAATTTTATCCATATAGGTTAAGAACACGATAGTTTTGGGTATTTTAATGTTATTCAATGAAAATATAAATATCATCCCGTGACAGATTAAGGAAATTTTAAAATGTTAAAGCATTCTAACACTTTTTTCGATTCTGTAAAACACTGGTGTTAAAATGGTAGTAGTATATGTGTATCTAAAAACTGCATCAATACTCTCAACCTCAAAAGATAAGAAAAAATAGCTGATTGTCTAACCTAATTTGCTACACTTACAACAAGTCATTAATTAAAACATTAGTAAGAAATATTACGCAAGTAAACACAGAATCAGATGGCAATCAGCTGTTTGTTGCATTGTTGTTTCTCTGTCTTGCTCTATTTTGAAGGTTTATCTGCGACGAATCACAGACGGTTATTTAGTTGATTCTGTGTGTTTGCTATTTCAAGTTTTGTTGTTTAAACGATAACATTTAACTATTTATCGTTTGTGTATTTAGTTTAAGCTTGTTTGTTTAGTATTTGAAGTTTATGATTAATAATGTTATAAATACTGAGAAACGGCCAATAAGAAGATTTTAGCCGCTAAAGTTGTAATTTCATTACCTGTTTAAATCATTGATATCTGATCTGTTTAGAGAGTTTTGTGTATTGACTGGTTTCTGTCGCATGAAGTTTCTGGCATTTGGAAAACATATTTCTACATAATTCAATTTATTTCCCAAAGCCTGTTTTATTAGTTACTATTCTGCATTGGTTAGTAAAATACTTGTATTTGTTTGCAGTATGTAAATCCTCCAAGTTATTCTTATAGAGAATATATTAGTACGCCGAATGCTTGTTTATGGATGTGTGCTATCGTAAAATTTACTGAAAGTATTAATTTTATATTAG